CAGTCCCGAAATGACCTAGTTTGTGTCGAGTGGGGGTTAAACCCCGTTTCTCTCTCACATCATATTTAATAATTTCGGAATACCTAAAGCCCAGTTCAGACGTTCGGAAATGTATCTTGTGATATCCAAATTTGTTGGTTATATATCGGTAATTACGGGACCGTGTCTATTGTATAATGACAACAAGTTCTACATGATACATGTATACAATAATTGCTGAATATCTGGCGTTATATATTTATGTACAAGTGCAATTCTTGTATATTTCCCTGTATTCTCGCTGTTGAATAAATGAAAACAGGTATCTGGTGATGGCTAATATTTCTATCTAAGAAAGCAAAAGAAACGTCAGGTTGGTATGTTACTCTGAATAGACGCATTGAATAAAACTTGCCAAATGTGTTTATTGTATATTTGTGAGCACGTCTCCAGCTTTACCTGAGCAATAAGGCTCCTTGCCAAACCTGGGAAAAGTTCTCAAAAACGCAACCTGACTTCTAAGATGGTTATGTGTTCTCCACGATGTTCATGTAACTCATGCTGCATGTGCTGTTCACCGGGACCAGCCCTATAAAATCCCCACCCATACCTGTTTTAATCATTCACACTACAACGTCGGCAACATGCCACGACAAAACCACCCAAATACCACTCCAATATCATCACATACTACCCAATACTACAATATAATGGTGTCAAATGAGCATATTACTTGATTGTTTTCAAAATATAGGGAGATATCGTGGGAAATGTACTTCAAATGTGATTACCGATGTCTGGCTGTTCCATTTGCCCCCCCCCCCACCATACCACCCAAATCAAGCAAATAATAACCCAATACTACCAAATACTTATCAAATACTACCCAATATTATAAAATACAAACCTAATATCGTCAATTAGCAGAACATCAGTATAATAATTGCAAGGAATATTCGATAATTTACAGACAATTGAAATATTTACGCAGTTATCTCCCTTTGCAACCAACAAATAGATTTTAGATTGCTACTCAGATTAATCATCTTGTTGGGCTTTGCAGTTTGTTTGCAAAACGACGAAGTTAAAATAAGGAAAACAGGTTATTATAGATTCCTCCGCTATAGTGTATTCATACAATATAAAAGCATATCAATATATAAAATAAAATAAAATATAAAGAGATTTAAAAGAAGTTAAAGATTTAAAATTACATTAAAATAAAATCAGTTTACAAAATAAACATCCAAATAAAAGAGTATTTTAGAGGTTGATTTAAAAATGTTCATTTAACGGTCTCGTGGCCTACTCAAACGTCTTCTTTCTTATTATATACACTTCAAAAAAAGTAGGGGATATTCAGAAACAATACAAAACTGCGGAAGTGCATTGCTATTTTTATTAGAGGTAACCAGTGTATGTTAATAACAGGCCAATTTCCTACACATGAACATAAATATTTTATATGAGCGGCTTATCTGACGGCCCCATACACCGTCAAAAGTGAAAATGGACGTTTTTGATTTTTGTCTTAATAATGAGTAATTGCTCCACCAATCCTCAGACATTCAGCAATTAGTCGTGGCATGCTCCTAACCAACCGTCCAATCACGATTTGGGGCAATCCGACCCACTCCTCTTGCAGTGCCACGGCCAATTCTTGCAGTGTTGTCGGCTGACGTTGACGAACACGTCTCCCGATCAAATTAAAAGTAACACACTAAAGCAAAGATACGCTAAACAGTAAATCTTATGCACGAACCGATTGGAAAGCAAACATGGATAGATAAACCAGCACGAGGCAGTTTTCATCAACCCGTCCTTGAAGTGTCAAATTTGACAATAAACCCCTCCCACGTGTATGGCGCTATTGCGTGTCGCATGTGCAGCTCAGTGGTTCTGTTGGGGCGATAAGTTCTTCTGTGAACATACTCTCAAAGTATGTCAAGTGTCCATGACTATTTATCATATCACCACCTGCATAGGTATTTGCATTTCAATATCCCCTACCTTTTTTTTGAAGAGTATACTATAATTATTTCTTCATCCTGGTGATTTTAGTATGATAACACGCTGTCTACAAGTGCACGCGGTCCTGTAAAAAATCATTTGGGTATAATATGTCAGGAAAGCACACGAATTTATCTTTATCTGTCTTTTAATGACTTATTAACGCGTCTCATTTGTCTTTTAAATGATTCCGGTTCCAAACCAGGCGACTTTGAAAAAACCCTCTTGTCAAAATTTCACCGATTCTTCGAATATTGTCACTATTGAACAAATTCTAAGTATTCTACTGTATATAATCCACAGGTGGCGATGTCGCGGCGATGTCATTACCACCTGAATGAATAGACACGGTCACCGGTTTCTTTCCACATATACATATGCTTATATTTTTTTTTTCATGTCAACGATTAAGTTATTGCATATATACTTAATGTACGATGTTTTATTTTAAAATTAACGCAATTGCACATGTTTATTACAATGCACATGTTTATTACAAATGTGTAATGCTCTACTCGTATACATTCCACCTGACTTAACGATTAATCAACGGGGTTAAGATTGTTGATTGGGTAATCAAGTTCTGGTTTATTTATATTATCAAAGGAACTGACAGAGATGTAACAGACCGCAAATGATAATTTTGATGAACTGAGAGGTGTCGCGTCGAGAATTACACACTGGAAAGAAATATGTGCTATTTCGTTAATTTTAAAATAAAAAGATCGTGCAGAAAGTAAATACGCAACAACTGAATAGTTGATATGAAAAAATGAATATAAACAATATGCAATTGTTTTTGTTAAAGTATTAATTTTAAAATAAATACAAACACTCGACATTAACTAGGTAATTTCGGGACTAACATATAGTTCAATATTACTTCATCAACTCGCTTTCGCGAACGGGTGTTTAACCGTCAGATGAAACCTGGGGAGCCGAGAAAACCCACCTTGTTTGACAGACGACTCTATCAATTGGTAAGGGATAGATGGGTCATTTAGGGAATAAAATATGGTATATTGTCATACTTGTTTTTTTTTATTTTAATTTTGTCGTCTTGGAAACCAACTACAGAGCCAAAGAAGATGATTAAACCGAGTAGCAATCTAAAATCTATTTACCGGTTGTAAAGGGGATAACTGGGTAAACATTTCAATTTTCTGTAACATATCGAATATTCGTTGCAGTAATTATACTAATGTGCTGTTATTTGACAATATTAGGTTGTTATTTGATCATATTGGGTAGTATTTTGTAGTATTGGGTTATTATTGGCTTGTTTGTTGTTGTATAGGGAGGCAAATGGAACAGCCAGACATCGGTATTGCATTTGAAGTACATTTCTCGCGATATAACTCTATATTTTTGAAAATAATCAAATGATATGTCTATTTTGCATCATTATGTTGTAGCATTGGGTAGTATGTGGTGATATTGGGGTGGTATTGGGTAGTATTGGGTAAATCGTCCTGCCCAAGCCGTTGCCAATCACTTCCAGGTCAATGTTTGGACCATCTACAGGCTCCAGCAACGCTTTCGGGCCACCAAGGGTTACCACAATTCGACAAGACAACCATGTTGTGCGACAGCACGTGCAGAATCCCTTCACGCAGGCATCTGAGACAGCACGTCAGACAGTGGGAACACACGGAAGAGCCATCATTACCGATACAGTGCGCCGACGTCTCACCAGAGAGAACATCCATTTCCGTAGACCTTACCGTGGACCGATCCTCACCCCTCGCCATCGACGTGAACGTCTACAGTTTGCCCAACAACACCAGAACAGGCGACACAGGCAATAGAGAACTGTTCAATTCACAGATGAGAGTCGGTATTGCGTATCAACTGCAGATGGCAGGACAAGAATATGGCGTCGACGTGGCCAGCGTTATTCTGGCCAATGTGTCATGGAACGAGACTCATGGGGAGGTCCAAGCATAATGGTTTGGGGTGGAATCCGCCAGAACCAGTGAGTGGGTCCTGTGGTGTTCCAAAATCTTGTGGTGTTCCAGGGAGTGGAGGCGGCATCACAGCAGTGCGCTACATCGATCAAGCTCTCAAACCCCACGTCATACCACATTTCGCACAACATTTTCCAGCATGACAACGCCCGTGCCCAGAGTTACACGGAACTTTCTACAGCAGAACGGTGTCAACGTTATGCACTGGCTAGCCCTTAGTCTGGACTTAAACCCGATTGAACATCTTTGGGGTAAAATTCAGAGGAGACTTAATAACGTCGTACCGAGACGAAAAACAGACTCTAAACCTTCTCGTAAATGTCTTGGAAGTGTGATGAATTAATCACTAATGTGTCAACATACTGTTCACAAAAAATTCCTTTGATCCATCGAGTAAGTCGTTTTCTAGAATGATTTGATTAAAGTGCCTCTCTGATTTTGATATCGTACTGACGATATTTTTGCTGTTTAGCATTTATTCTTTGGTTAGCAAATAATCAACATGAATTTCAGCACACAATTAATGTAACAAATATTGGTATAACCGCATAATGGTAAATAAGCTCCAATTTGAATATGGAAATTGATATTAACTTGTGTCTCTAAATACAGGCAAATACGGTATAATAATAATAATAATCGTGTTCTATAGCGCTGAACATTCAGTCAGTCTGACTGCTCTGTGGCGCTTTAAAATGTAGATATGATTGTGGTAGAGTGATTTTATTTAGTTTATGGGTATTTTAATATGATCACAATACTAATGTAATTTTAAGTAATATGTCACACATCAATGCATCTTTAAACTATCCTGTTCTGTACACTCTTCTAACCAGTGAGTTCGAGTTCATCATCTGGTCACTGGGATTCAATTTTCACCTTTGACCCAAAGGTTTCTTGGATTTGTATTTCCTATCTCCTTGGTCACTTACTTATAGAATCTTGTAGTGTGAGGTTGAATATTTCATTCAACCTTGGTAGTGATTTTATATTTAAAGTTTCAATAGTTATAATAATAGTTTCATTTATTCATATCAATTGTGTGTATTTGGTATTGGAAGAATTATTATCTACAGATTTATTGTTTACAGTTTAAAGGTATGTGTGGCTATTTGTTTTATCAGTTTTATAAGTTTATATATATTTTATTTGTCTTTGTTAAAGTTGGCGGACATGTTGGTTTTTGTTAATTACATTCTGCAAATACAAGGCATACAGTTTATAATAGTAATAATAGTAACGCTATTTAAAGCATTTCGCTTTAATAATATAATTAATATCAAATACCCCATATTTTATTACAGACAGAGCTATAAGGTACTTCACCTTGTTTCCAGACTCTGGTTACTTTATTAAAAACCCCTTCATGGGTAAGAACATTATTATTATTAGTAAGATTATTTAGATTATGCCTGTATATTTCATACGGGTTAACAGGAGGTAGTTTCCCTTTAAAGTATTTATATAGACTAAGTATATATAAAAGTAGTAGTTAGAATAGAGATTTTAGTGTTAATATGTAATATATTATTTTAATGAATATGAATGAATTGATTTTATATGTTGGATTATGTTATTTATACTGTAATTGTATAATTTCAGGGTTTTTATTATAAGGTAATAAATTGCTGTTTTACTGAACCCTTGGTGTGGTTATTTACTTCATATTTGACCCCCTAGTGTTGTTGATATGAAGAGTGGTTACCATCAGGTCAGCATTGAGGAAGCAGATATTCCTAAAACAGCTTTTACTGTCGGACCTCTAGGATTTTACGAGTACCAGAGACTTCCTTTTGGGCTAACGAACGCACCAGCCACGTATCAACGACTTATGCAAGATTGCCTGGGAGACCTTGATTGGAAGATCGGTGCTATTTTCATCGACGATCTTATTATCTTCAGTAAGACGTATGGGGAGCACCTTGACAGGTTATCTAAAGTGTTTGAGAAGCTGAAAGAACATGGCATCAAGTTATCACCGAAAAAATGTGAGTTCTTTAAGGAGAAAGTGAAGTATCTCGGCCATATTGTGTCTGAAGATGGTGTTTGCACAGACCCAAAGAAGACCGATAAAGTTGAATCTTGGCCAGCTCCTACCAATGTTGATGAACTTCGTAGATTCCTTGGATTTGTAGGATATTACCGAAGATTTATTAAGGACTTTTCGAAGATTGCCAAACCACTAAATGATCTGTTAGTTGGAGGTCCAACTAAAAAGAAGAGGGGGAGAAGAGTACAGGAGAAGGAAAAGAAAGAATGGAAATGGGAGAAAGAACAACAAGCGGCATTTGAGAGGTTAAGAACATCATTAGTGGAGCCACCAGTTCTTGCGTATGCTGATTTTTCAAAGCCTTTTATTTTACACACAGATGCCAGTGGTTTAGGACTTGGAGCAGTACTCTACCAGGAACATAATGGCTTAGAGAAGGTGATTGCCTATGCCAGTAGAAGTCTGAACCGGTCGGAACGTAACTACCCAGCACACAAACTGGAATTTTTGGCATTAAAGTGGTCTGTAACAGAGAAATTCCACCAATATCTGTTCAACAACTATTTTACAGTCTACACTGATAACAACCCTCTCACATACATCCTTACAACAGCGAAGTTGGATGCCACAGGACATCGTTGGTTAGCTGCCCTCACCAACTATAACTTCAACATACGAAACCGAGCTGGAAAGAAGAACATGGATGCTGATGCTTTGAGTCGGAATATGAAAGGAAATTTCATAGAAGTCAACCAGGATGTGGTAGAAGCCATAAAGAACATCGACTTGGACGATGGCTACATTCAGATTGTGAGCATGTCTCATCAGGTGGTACCAGATATTCTAAACATCACCAAACCTTTAGCAAGTGTCGCAGAGTGGCAGAAGAACCAACATCAGGATCCCTTACTGTTTCAGTTGTGTCAACATATAGAGCATGGAAGACCTGCTAATCACACTCCTACATCTCCAGAAGAAGCTGCACTTTACCGCGAATTTGAACACTTCGTTCTCAAGTCAGGTATTTTATACAAGCGTGCTACTGTAGCAGGAGAGAAAATACTTCAGCTGGTTTTACCTAAAGCCTATAGAAAGTCAGCCATGGAAGGGGTACACGACGAACTAGGACACCAAGGCAGGGATCGTACCATCAGTTTGGCAAGAGAACGGTTTTATTGGCCCAACATGACAGCGATGATAGAGAGCTACGTTCAGAATTGTCCACGCTGCATCCGAAGAAAGAGTTTACCATCTACATGCCCCTTGACCAACATTACCTCCAGTCAGCCACTTGAACTAGTCTGCATGGATTATATGTGCGTAGAAGAGTCGAAAGGAGGCTACGACAGTATCCTTGTCATCACTGACCATTTTACCAAGTATACTCAGGCAGTTCCAGTTCGAAACACCACCGCCAAGACAACGGCTAAAGCGTTCTTTGTTTATTTCATTGTGCACTACGGGATTCCTCAACGAATACACAGTGACCAAGGTCAACAGTTTGAGGGAAAAGTGATCAAAGAATTATGCCAGCTGACTGGGATGGAGAAATCTAGAACAACACCGTATCATCCACAAGGGAATGGCCAATGTGAGCGTTTCAATCGGACTTTGCTCAACATGTTAGGTACTCTACATCCTGAGCAGAAGTCTGATTGGAAGTCTTACGTTGCGCCGCTGATTCATGCCTACAATTGTACCAGACACTCTTCAACAGGGTATTCTCCGTATGAGTTAATGTTTGGTAGGAAGCCAATATTAGCTGTTGATGTTATGCTCGGACTCGTACGGGATAAAGAGGCCGCTAAGAGCTATCATTCATACGTTGAATCCCTGAAGGAGAGACTGGAACATGCGTATTTAACTGCCTCAGCCCTTGTGGATAATATGCACCAGAACCAACAAGATAAATACAACTTGAGAGCTAGAACAAACACCCTGGAGCCTGGCGATACCGTTTTAGTTAGGCGATTGGCATTTAAGGAAGGAAGGCATAAGATTGCTGATAAGTGGGAGGATAAGCCATACAAGATCCTCAGAAGACCCAATCAAGACATTCCGGTGTACGAGTTGCAGGAATTAGGTGGAAACAGAAAGAGAACTCTACACCGTAACCACCTTTTGCCAATCAGCAGTCTTCCAGCCATCGAACCAATCCATCGTGGTCCAACACCAAAGCCGAGAAAATTGCAACCACCAAAGGTGACAGAAATCACAGAACCGGAAGAGGCAGAAAGTGACGAGGAGGAGCTTGTTTATCTGGTGGAAAGTGCAGATTTCCTGCACCCAGCTAGCCCACCAGAGTTACAGGTCACAGAGGATGTGGTGGAATCTGAGCTTGATAATTCACATCAAGATGATGCAGACAGGCCTGATGCGTCAGCCTCAGATTCAGAGACATCGGAGGAATCACACTTGCCAGAAGATCCTACTCCTAGAAGATCAGGAAGAGAGAGAAGACAACCAGCCCGGTATAACGACTACGTCATGTCGCAGCAACAACCAGTAGCTTCTACTCCACAGTTTCGTGCGGATTTCATGAGTTTGTCACCTGATCGGTTACAAGTTGTTTTAAATTCATTACCATCTTTGTGTAAGAGTCTGTTCCCGGATGTGTTTTACTAGTTTGATGGTTTAGATTTAAATGTTAGGGACAACATTTTCCCAAAGGGAGGGAGTATGTGGTAGAGTGATTTTATTTAGTTTATGGGTATTTTAATATGATCACAATACTAATGTAATTTTAAGTAATATGTCACACATCAATGCATCTTTAAACTATCCTGTTCTGTACACTCTTCTAACCAGTGAGTTCGAGTTCATCATCTGGTCACTGGGATTCAATTTTCACCTTTGACCCAAAGGTTTCTTGGATTTGTATTTCCTATCTCCTTGGTCACTTACTTATAGAATCTTGTAGTGTGAGGTTGAATATTTCAGTCAACCTTGGTAGTGATTTCATATTTTAAGTTTCAATAGTTATAATAATAGTTTCATTTATTCATATCAATTGTGTGTATTTGGTATTGGAAGAATTATTATCTACAGATTTATTGTTTACAGTTTAAAGGTATGTGTGGCTATTTGTTTTATCAGTTTTATAAGTTTATATATATTTTATTTGTCTTTGTTAAAGTTGGCGGACATGTTGGTTTTTGTTAATTACATTCTGCAAATACAAGGCATACAGTTTATAATAGTAATAATAGTAACGCTATTTAAAGCATTTCGCTTTAATAATATAATTAATATCAAATACCCCATATTTTATTACAGACAGAGCTATAAGGTACTTCACCTTGTTTCCAGACTCTGGTTACTTTATTAAAAACCCCTTCATGGGTAAGAACATTATTATTATTAGTAAGATTATTTAGATTATGCCTGTATATTTCATACGGGTTAACAGGAGGTAGTTTCCCTTTAAAGTATTTATATAGACTAAGTATATATAAAAGTAGTAGTTAGAATAGAGATTTTAGTGTTAATATGTAATATATTATTTTAATGAATATGAATGAATTGATTTTTTATGTTGGATTATGTTATTTATACTATAATTGTATAATTTCAGGGTTTTTATTATAAGGTAATAAATTGCTGTTTTACTGAACCCTTGGTGTGGTTATTTACTTCATATTTGACCCCCTACAACATGATTATAAAACAACATACTGGTATATACAAATAAACCAAGTTACAATATACAAATAGAAAGTGGAGCATTTAAATTATAGTTCAAGTTTGGGCTATTCTGGACTTCCAGAGGTAAACTGTTCCATTCTTTTGGTGCTGCGTACGCAAAAGCTCTCTCACCAAATTTTGACTTCTGTACTGGACATACAAGGTTTTTTTTATGAGATGAACGCAAGAAACGCGAAGGTACATATTGTTTAATCAAACTGGATAAACAGTTGAAAGTGATTGTGTTAATTTTGAAAATGATGCGTTGATTAATAGATAGCCAATGTAACTGTTTTAGAACGGGTGTAATGTGGTCAGATGGTTTGGTGACAATCTAATTAAAATATAGATCTATATTTCGTTTCGTTTTTTATACTTTCGATGGCCTACACTACATGTAGTAAAGACAAGTAAAAACGAAATTTTGAACTATAAAAAACGAAACGAAATTGGATCTGTGTTTTAATCAGATTAGTTTGGTGAGAGATACAATTCGAGCTGCTTTATTCTGGATTTTCTGTAGCTGGCTTACAAGAGTTTTAGGAAGAGAATACAATAATGAATTACAATAATCTAAAGATGACATAACAAAAGCATTTATTAACATTTTAGTGGCATCAAGGTCAATATAGGGTCGAATTTTGCCAATGTTATACAGGTTACACAGCCTGGATACATGGGTTTTCATATCGAAGGACGAGTCAAATAACACACCAAAATTCCTGACACAGTTGGATGGGGTTATGGCTGTGCTTCCAATAGTCAAATGGATGATGTCAATGTTCTTTTTATTCCCGATTATTATATTTTCTGTTTTGTCATTGTTCAATTTAAAAAAAATGCAGTGCATCCAGAATCTAATTCGTTCAATGCATGCTTCAAGTTCTGATGTAGTTGTATCTGGTAAAGGATCAAGTTCACCATATAACTGGGTATCATCCGCATAGAGGTGGTAATTAAGACCCAT